GGAAAGAGTCTTGAGTGCAATTCCTGCACACGCTCCGGGTTTCATTGCTGAAAGGCAGCATGTTGGCCGGCTGTGATGAGTTTTAACGATGTTTTAATTCTTCAGATGTCAAAAGTGTTGCTTAAAGAGAGTTCAGCGTTTTTGGTAGTATAGCCGTGACTCGATAATCCGACCCTTAACAATCCTAAACCTGCTATCCGACAGGTTTTTAGGTAAAACTAACAGAACCTATAAAAGCAGCCTTAACATAGCGACAGCCTTGGATTCTGACTCCAACATGACATTTTATGTCACCAATCAGGATGACGGCGTATTATCTGACTGAACAATCCCACAGATTGGCTACGTTCACACTGCAGGACTTGATGCTCAATGAGGATTTCTTTGTGACTTCCTTCACATTTCCAGTTAAATGCGACTTGTATGTGATCTGCTGTGTGAACTTCATACGACCCAAAAGTGTCCCGCATGCGCAGAACAGGACACGACGACGTCACACGCAGTGAGCGTGCTCAGTCTTTACGGAAGTAAACATGGATGGTAACGGTGGAGCATATCTGCCACTCCCCCACCGCCACCGATGGAGGAAACAGAAGTGTGAGCGCTAACTAAACTAGCATCAGCAGCCAAGTACTGCCCGTGTGTTCGGCCACTTCCACTCCGTCAGAGCGCTGCCCCGGGGTGGAAGTGTCCCCCGACCAGGACGAATATTCTGATATTCATCAGTAATTGGGCCTGAATATCCAGAGACCAGAAAGTGCTATTCAGACCATCCCTACTAGTTATTATAACAACTATGAACAATGAATATTAAGAACTAATGAGTCTTCCAGCATCCAGCCCTCCTTGTATCTGGACCTCCGTCTTGACAATCCAACAGCCTAAAAGAAGGTTTTACATTTAGTGTCGGATTATCGAGTCACAACTGTATATTTAAATAATAATAATGACGACACCACTTTGCTGCACAAGTCTCTTCATGATGGTACCTGGAGATTCAACGTTAGATATATAAAACTTTAGAAATCTTTTAAGTCTTGAAGCCTTTGACACATCAAGATTGAAGCCGTTATTCCAGGAAAATACTATTCAAGTCATTGTTTCATACAGAACATTTACAGCCTCAGCCGAACCAAAAAAGTCTTTTCCACAAAAGAAACCCAAATATTTATAGTGTGTAATTAAAATCCTACAAAGATTTTATAAAATGCTACTTTATCTGACTATAATACCTTTAAAAAGTTTGATTATGATTGTTATTATTGTTTAAATTAGTCTTTTTAGCATTTGCTGCAGTTTTTTCGTAGACGTTTCCTTAATTTGCTCGTTTTGTCTCAGATTTCTTAGTTGCGTTAACAAACTAACAAAAACTTTCAGACTCACATTGAAAAAAATATGCAAAGGATCCATTTATTTATCTTTTATCAGGTTTTGCCAACTCACTGTGCAGGAATTCTTAGATGCACAAAGAGGTGTAAATATTTCTATACTGGTGCAACAGAGCATGAGTTCGTCTGTCTCTGACCATCAGCTGTCGTCTTTTCATGAACCAGAAAACCAGTTTCCACGTGTTTCCTGTTAAATAACACGCGTCAACCTTTAAACTACAAGACAAGAGAATGAATGAAGCACAGAGACGAGCAGATTCATCGGTTTTATACGATTTTTCATCCAGCTTTGTACGTCTAAAGGGGATTTTTGGGTTTGCTTTTGGTGCCAAAAACTGGAGCTTGGCGGTTCGAGTCCTCGGTTTGTGGTCTGAAGCCGACTCGCTGTCGGTTCACCTGGTTCCAGTCCAGCTCTGGTCCTCGTCCATCCAACGCACATGAGCCTCATTAGCTGATCAGAGCTGCAGCAGGGGAACATGTGAGGCATGTTAGCAGTCATGAGACCCGATGAGTTTAGTTAAAACGGAGCTGACCGACGAGCTGCTCCTCGTTAAACTGTCACAAATTCAGGTGGACGAATCTGACTTAACCGGTTTATGTAAGAAATTCTGAGTTGTGCCGCAGAATGGAAGAACAGAAGTTGTTCAAACGTACTACACATTGACAGGAAGCCTTTTTTTTAAAGCTTATCAGAGAGCTGCAGGTTCACAAACTCTCTGAACAGGCAGGTGTACATAGATGTGGTTTAATTCACCCGTCCATCTGTTATCTTCCAGTTGTCCAGGATGGAGAAGCAGGTTGTTGTCGATGTCTCTACCAGCCGGGGTTTCCAGTTCCTCCTGGTTGATCCTGAGCCCAGATGAGATGTATAATCCCTCCAGACCAAGGATCTCCAACTCCGGTCCTCCTGAGCTCCTGTCCTGCAGGTTCTAGATGTTTTTGTACTTCAACACATCGGACTCACATTAATGGATCATTAACAGACTTGTGTAGAACTTGACTGCAAGCTGTTGGAGATCCATTGATGTGAGTCAGGTGTGCTGCAGTACGGAAAAACCTGTAGGACAGTAGCTCAGGAGGACCAGAGTTGGAGATCCCTGCTCCAGACAGTTCTCGAAAAAAAAACCTCGAAAAAAGGCGACCAGGAGGATCCAAACCAGATCACCTTGTTGGTTGAGCTGTAACTCTCCAGATGTCCAAACTCCTGTCAGTTCACCTGGTTCCAGTCCAGCTCTGGTCCTCATCCATCCAACACACAAGATGTCCAAACTCCTCACCGAGGAGCAGCGACTATCAGGAACTCTATCTTGTGATAGAAGTTCCTGGTCAAGAAAGCTCATGTATCAGTAGATGCCTGCTCATGGTTCTGAGCTTGTAGTGGTCGAGCAGCGTCAGCTTTTACTGCTTCATGCACCACAAAGATGGATTCTGTTGCTTCTGTAAAAATGTACAAGACGGTAAGATGGAAGGCTTTGGTTACCATCTGTGAGGTTACTTCAGATCGTTCTTGGCCTCACCAGAACCAGAACCAGTCACGGGGCTGCTGTTGCGTTATTTCTCAACACCGTCTCCTTTAAGGTCCACCGATGGTCAAGCTTCAGTTTCAGTTCAAAGCCACATTGGCGCTTCTTTTTCTTTGGCTGTTTTTTTTCAGTTGTCACATTTCTGATGTCGTCCCCATTAATGCTTTGACCTTTTTGCAAAAAGCCTATCTTGAAGAGTTCCTCACCGTCCTGAAACACCGGAGTCGTCACCGTGCCGACAGACATCACTTGTGTCAAGGCAGAGAACTGGTGTTTCCACTGTTTGCTTGTGACAGAACAGTGATATCAGACTTTAACGTGTAAAGAGTTACGCCCCTTTTTCTGGGTCAGAACGAGAACTTTTACAAGTATCCTCGTCTGTTAACCTTAAAATGTTCTGTTCTGCTCGATCCATGTGGTGCGTGAATGAGGAGGACACATCTGAAGGTGTTGAGTTAAACTTACAGAAAGACCATTTTTTGACTTTCTGTTTTATTTAACAGGATTTGCCGCCACAAACTTGGGTCAGAGGGACGTCTGGAAGAGTCTTGGACAACCATCAGTCACTCAACACGATGACCCATAGAACCAGGTGAAACACTGTCTTTCTGGTAAATGTGGCGAATGTGTTTACAGGGCGGGACTGGAAGCTCTGAGGAACCAGGGTCAGGAAACACAGCGTTGGTAGTGTTAATAGAAAAGAGTTTCGGCTGAACTGCAGGCAGTGTTTCCACAGAGCAGAGAGGAGACAAGTATAGAAGCTAATTACTGATTGTATAATATCTATAGCATGTAGAGGCTTAACTTTGGGGTGAAATCAGACAAACTGGATCAACAAAATAAACGTGGCGTGGCTTAAAAATGGTAAACAGAGGAGCAAGTGGTTGGAAGATCCATCCAGCATGGTGGAGCATCTTCCTATAGCTGATGAGCAGAGAAAGTAGAGGCTGTAAACATGGAAACAATCACATACCTACAGTGTGTGAAGGCTTCTGCTTTCAGTTTTTGTAAAAAGAATAATGAAAAATGTACTTTTTTTTCAGATTTCTAGCATTTTTGTGAACGTTTCGGCGCAGGAGTTTAGAAACTGAGTGGGAAATAAAACAAACTGGATGGATAAAATAAACGCAACATTATTTTTTAAAGATATTTTTCATTATTTAAAAAGCAAAATTATGTTTATTAAGGTTTGAAAAATGTTATTTCACAGACTTTCCCTGTTTTGGGCCCTTTGCTGCCACAGTTTGATAGTTTGTTCACAGATTTTTTTTGTGGTTTTCTGTGTAATGGATCAATAAAATAAACAGTGAACAGAGGAGCTAGTAGTTGGACGATACATCCAGCATCCATGGTGGAACATCTTCATACAGCTGATGAGCAGAGAAAAAAGTTGTAGAGGCTGAAACGTGGAAATAGTTCAATATCTGTGTAGAGCCTGAGCAGCGTGGACATCTGATAAAATGGTGATCAATCAAAAGACGTCGTTCTAGCTGAGTTGTGCTGCTCAGAGGGAGTTCTCTCTAACTTCTAATCGTGGTTGTTCTGTTTCCAAAGAGCTGCAGGACTTTATGTTGAAGAAAAAATGAGCCAGGAGTCAAAAATGTGCATAAACTGGAGACCCAGAATGATGTTCTGAAAGGCAGCGTCCTGCAGAAAACATGATCAAACCACTGATTCCTGTAAGTTTAACGTGTTTATACTGTGGCTGTAGTGAGCAGTGGAGCCTCTGGGGGGCGCCAGGAGAGGCTGGTAGTAAATAACAGTGTGGAATGTGTGTTTAAGTCGGTTTTATGTCGTATTTATGTTTACAATGGAGCGTTTTTAGGTCACAGCTGACTGTCAGGAATCCACAGTGAAGTAAAATCATGTTACTGTCAGCGTGATACAGAACCAGGCGCTGATTACACAACAACACACACACACACACACACACACACCCACACACACTTCTACAACCCCGCCACGCCATTGGCCGCCGCTGATGAATGGGCGAGTTGTTGACCAATCAGGAGCATGTGACCGGTGGATATGTAGGCCGACCGGCATCGGCTGGACACACAGCACCACCGTCCTGCATCACACACACACACACACACACAAACACACAAACAAACACACAAACACACATTTAGCTGCTCATTCAAACACAAACACAGAAGTCTGCTGGGATCCATCAGCCGTCATCATGCACAGCAAAGACCAGATCAGGTGAGAAAACGTCTTCATTACGTCTTATTTTCTAACTAATGCAGGTTTTATCAGTGTGTTGTGTTACAGCTGACGTTAACATCTTATAATATTTAATTTTGGTGTAAAACAGATGCTCATCAATGCATATTTCTGCTGTCAGAAGCCAAATTCGTCCAAAGAAAATGTTAAATGTTGAAGAAAGGCTTTAATTTTCCTGCAAAAAAGGATGAAAACTGAGCATTTTAAAGAAGTGGATGAATAAATGCTTGTAAATATTGTAAACAAAACTGGAGAAAATGGTCTCAACAACACAGATATTCTGCTAAAAGATAAACATTTCTTCCAAAACATAAGAAGGATATAAATATGCCACTAAAACCAGAGTCTAAATCAATAATGGAAACAGCTGCTGTGTGCTTTCAGATCAGGAAGCTTTAAGAAATTTGGTAAAAATCCTAAAACAAACAGCCTCATTATTGTATATTACTGCTGTGTCATCATTAGAAATCTGATTTTATCCAGAAAAACGTTAAATATTAGAGGACAATCTTTATTATCCTGTAAATACATCAGTTTTTGTTGGATTCTTGTCCCAAACTAACCTTTTATACAAGCTGTGATTTACTATTATGCTCCTACTGTGGGAGGAAAACGAAACTACGAGAAACAAGAGTGTAAAAATGTGAGATTGTAAAGGAGGGAACAACTCAGAAAAGCTGCTGTGTAGTTTAGAATCAGGAAGCTTGTAGAAATCCTAAACTTTTTGCCACGAAACTGTCTCATTATTGCACATTTCTGCCTGAAAAACGTCAATTTATCTACAACAAGTCAAATGTTAAAGGATAATCTTTAATAATCAGGTTAATAAATCAGATGCTTTTGGACATTTATACAACCAGAGATGCTGTTTGATTTAGTTTCATCAATATGGAGCCAGTTATTAAACACTAAACCAGGATTTGAGGAACAAAAGTATAAAAAACTGGGTGTTTTAAAGGTAAATATGTGAATGTTGTGAACCTGCAGGAGGCAGAATCAGTTTTGGGTAACAAAACTGGAGATGACAGTCTTATAGCAACACAGATATTCTGCAAAATAATAATAATAAAAACATTTCCTCCCAAATCTAAGGATGAAAAAAGCAACCAAAACCCCAATCCAATACAGTCATAGAAAGTCCAGATACTCACTAAAGCTGGTGTTTACTTTTGAATCAAGAAGCTTGAAGAAAATTAGTACGAATCTTAAACCTTTTGGCATAAATCTGAGTCTGATCATTGTATTTTTTATTTGTTTTCTTGCTCTGTGTCACTTTCAGAAGCCCGAAAATATAAATTCATCCTGAAAAAAGCTCAAATATTAAAGACAAGTGTGATCATCCAACTTTGATTGGTTTCTTCGTCGAGGATCCAAATCAGGCTCGTTAACATTAAAACAACCTGAGATCCACTGTGGGACTGAATTAAATCAGTATGAAACCAGTTAAAACTAGATTATTATAAATATCTTTTGGTAAAAGTTTGAATCATTTCTGGGAAACAAGGTCATAAATATGCAATCAAAGCCAAAGTCCAGAGCAGTAATAAAGGGGCTTTAGGATAAGAAGGATTAATTACATAAAACATATAAAACACAACGGTTCCCACTAGAGCTGTGGTTCTGGATTAGAAAGCTTGAAGGAAGTCGGGTCCAAATCCTAAAGTTTGTTACGTAAAACGTTCTTATCATCGCATGTTTGTGTTGCGTCGTCGTCAGAAGCAGCAAAACGTAAATTTATCCAGAAAAACACCCAAATCTAGAGAAAAGTCATTATTCTGTAGCTCAGGACCAAACCAGGTTAATATTCAGACAACCTGTGAT